CTAACACATCTTCAACAAACTGCTTCAAGAGTTTCACACTTAGATATTGCTTGATAATGTTAACAGGTTTGAGATATCAGAGGTAACTGAGCCCGGGGCTCCCACCTGGTAAATGAGCATGTATGGGGCTCAGAGATCAGGTAGTTCTCGAGAGCTCCCCCTGGTAAAGGAGGGAAGGGGGAGATGGGGTGGATGGGGGGATTCTTAAAAAACTATAATGAGGCAGTAATGCTAGACATTCACTGAATGAGCACTGTTTACGTCCGACAGATCATACTATTATTATGTCCTTCTTTTTTATTCTTTTATAACCTGTTTCAACTCATTTTTATCTGTTTTTAATAATTTGTATTGTTTGTAAACTTGTCTTTTTTATTCTTGTTTATGTAAAGCACTTTGAATTGCCACTGTGTATGAAATGTGCTATATAAATAAACTTGCCTAGACGGGTGATTTATTTTGAGTTTTAAATATTCTGATTGATCTACTAATGATTAGATGAGAGACCAGCCGTGATCCGTCACATCACGTGTTCCTCTTGAAATTAGTTTGTGAAGCTTCACACATCAGTTCAGAATAATTTAGTTTCACTCTGCATCTACAGAAGGAGAGACTCAGAGTAGCGTTAAGTAAAAGAACAGTAGAAAAGTACTGATTTTGTCAGTGTTTTATGAATGATGAAGTGTGTTTTCTGGATCTGAGCGGTGACTGAGGTGTTTCAGTTGTTTTCATTCATACTGAATGTGAAATGAGCTAAACCGAAAGCAGGGAAGAAGAACTGAATGAAGAGTTTAGAGAAAACAGACCTGGAAACTGAGAAATAAGTCCCGGCGGTTGTAGAAAGAGTCTTAGACTAATACATCTGTATCACACAATGTCCAAATCTGACAATGCAGCACCGGTTACTAATATAACTATAACAAAACAGAATAGCTACAGCTGAAGTCAGAATCATTCGCCACACATTGATTTTATTTTTTGAATATTTCCCAAATGATGTTGAACAGATTGAGGAAATGTTCACAGTATGTCTGATAATATTTGTTCTTCTGGAGAAAGTCTTAGTTGTTTTATTTCGGCTAGAATAAAAGCAGATTTTAATATTTTAAACACCATTTTAAGCTCAATATTATTAGCCCCGTTAAGCTATATTTTTCCAACTGTCTACAAAACAAACCATCATTATAATGACTTGCCTAATTACCCTAACTTTACCCTAATTACCCTAGTGAAGCCTTTAAATGTCACTTTAAGCTGTGTAGAAGTGTCTTGAAGAATATCTAGTCTAATATTATTTACTGTCATCATGACAAAGAGAAAATAAATCAGTTATTAGAGATGAGTTATTAACACTATTATGATTAGAAATGTGCTGGAGAAATCTGACCTCTGTTACACAGAAATAAACAGAGGGTGAATAATTCAGACTTTAACTGTTTATAACAAATATAATAGCAACATGTTTAAGTTAAATGTTGGTTTTACTTTAAATTCTGAACTGAAAATGTTTCATCTCCTTTAAATTAAAGGATACTTGTGTAAATATTTTGATGTAATAATATATTTGTATTAGGACAATGTGTTATACTTGTTTGTTATAATTTATAAAACACACACACACACACATTCACACACACTCATATTACACAGCAAACATTATACAGGGGTTGGAGAATGACGCTGAAGGCCCGGTGATGAGCAGTAGCTGATCAGCTGCTGTAGCTCCTCCTCCTCAGTCCAGCATCAGCTCATCAGCACAGCGGCCAGAGAGATTCTGAGCTGCTCTTCTTCAGAATAGTGTTCAGGTCACTACTGATGCTGCTGGAGGAAACCCTTTCCTGACTCACTCTTCAAAACACTCCAGTGCTCAATAATGTTTGGATCTGGGCACTGTGCAGGCCATGACAGATGTTCAACTTCAGTCATGTCCATCAGACCGCTCTGTCTCCAGTCCTGCTGTGTGTATTCCTGCAGTACCATCCTGACACACATCACCACCTTCAGGAGACAGTGTTTGACCCATTGGGTCACATGGTTCTCCAGAATGGTTGGGTAGTCCTTGAAAGTGACCCATAACCTATCTAGCACCAGTACCCAATCCATCAGTGATCCCCCATGCTTGACTCTGGGCATCAGCAGTCTGGGTGGGCCACTTCTTTGGGGCTTCTCCACACCGTAACTCTCCCAGGTGTGGAAAGACAGTGAAGCTGGATCATCAGAGAACAGCACATGCTCCACACCGTCCACAGCTCCAGATCTCCACTGCTGAACCAACCCGGCGTTTGGCATGGGCACGAGTGACCCAAGGTTTTCATGCTGGTTAACTAACATAAGAGCTGCGGTATGCAGGCTTGATCATCACACACTTGCTGTCTCGCTCACAGACACACACTAACCACCTCTGTCCTCTTCTGGACTCTACCATGTCCCCATAATGCTGTGTTGAAGCAGAACTGGGCTGTTCCTCTGCTGATGATCAATACTGCTCACATTCAGCCCTCCAACACTAAACTGACCAGTGCTTCAGCACCATTGTCCAACCCCTGCATATATAACACTCACACACACACACACACACACACACTCATATTACATATTAACACACTTTCTCTCTCACACACACACACACTCTGACCTGAGCGCTGTCCCAAGTGACTCCCAGCTGGACAGAACTCTGCACTGGATCAGCCATGCCACACCCACACACACTCATATAACACACACACACACACACACTGACCTGAGCGCTGTCCCAGGTGACTCTGTGGTTTTCGGGCAGCACTCTGCACTGGATCAGCCATGCCGCACACTGTCTCCACATCTCCATCTCCAAACGCAGCTCTGGGGACCTTCAGTGAGCCTCAAACTCTCCTGAGCAGCTCATCAGCACCAGAACTACAGATCCCACATGAGGAGGAGGACTACAGGAACACTCAGAGCTCTCGACCACCACCACCGCATCAACACACACGCTCTCTATATATATATATATATATATATATGAGTGAGTGTCTCTATACACACACACACACTCTATATATGTCTATATGTGTCTCTCTAGATCTCTCTCTCTGTCTCCAGCTCTCGGACTTCTTTATCTTGAAATGTTTGGAGATTTTAAGATTATATCACAAGATCCAAAGATTTAATCAAAAATTGTGAAAAATTAATAATTAATTATCTCTCTCTCTACCTCTCCCTCTCTCTCTGTCTGACCGTTGTCTTCGCCGAGGTCTTCTCCTTACGAGTGTGTTCGGCGAGTGTGTGCCTTCGCCGAGGTCTTCTCCTTACGAGTGTGTGCCTTCGCCGAGGTCTTCTCCTTACGAGTGTGTGTCTTCGCCAAGGTCTTCTCCTTACGAGTGTGTTCGGCGGGTGTGTGTGTGTCTTCGTCCGAGGTCTTCTCCTTACGAGTGTGTTCGGCGGGTGTGTGTGTGTCTTCGTCCGAGGTCTTCTCCTTATGAGTGTGTTCGGCGGGTGTGTGTGTGTCTTCGCCGAGGTCTTCTCCTTACGAGTGTGTTCGGCGGGTGTGTGTGTGTCTTCGCCGAGGTCTTCTCCTTACGAGTGTGTTCGGCGGGTGTGTGTGTGTCTTCGTCCGAGGTCTTCTCCTTACGAGTGTGTTCGGCGGGTGTGTGTGTGTCTTCGTCCGAGGTCTTCTCCTTACGAGTGTGTTCGGCGGGTGTGTGTGTGTCTTCGCCGAGGTCTTCTCCTTACGAGTGTGTTCGGCGGGTGTGTGTGTGTCTTCGTCCGAGGTCTTCTCCTTACGAGTGTGTTCGGCGGGTGTGTGTGTGTCTTCGCCGAGGTCTTCTCCTTACGAGTGTGTTCGGCGGGTGTGTGTGTGTCTTCGTCCGAGGTCTTCTCCTTACGAGTGTGTTCAGCAAATGTGTGTGTCTTCGCCGAGGTCTTCTCCTTACGAGAGTGCTCGGCGGGTATGTGTGTGTGTCGTCGCCGATGTCTTCCCCTTGCGAGTGTGCCTCGGCGGGTGTGTGTGTGTCGTCCCCGATGTCTTCCCCTTGCGAGTGTGCCTCGGCGGGTGTGTGTGTGTCGTCCCCGATGTCTTCCCCTTGCGAGTGTGCCTCGGCGGGTGTGTGTGTGTCGTCCCCGATGTCTTCCCCTTGCGAGTGTGCCTCGGCGGGTGTGTGTGTGTCGTCGTCTTGCTTTCCCTTCGTTCGTCTGCTGCTGCTCTGCAACACTGCAACTGAGGAAGCCTTTCAACTGCAAAACAACTTCCTCTTTCCTCTATAGCGCACACACACACACACACACACACACACACACTCACACACACACATCTGACACTTAACTTGCATGTGCTGCTGCTGCAGAGTGTGTGGTTTCTGTGAGTGTGTGTAAAGTGAAATATGAGTGTGATTGTGTGTAAGTGTAACATGCATGTGAATGTGTGTGTGTGTGTGTGTGTGTGTGTTTGCCTGTGTGCAACTGTAATATGAGTGTGAGTGTCTGTCTGTCTGTGAGTGTGCAAGTATTTAATGTTTTTGTGTGTG